ATATATATCAAAAATTGATGTGGGTACTCAAATGAAAGGACCTGATGAGTGTAACGTCGGGATGAGCTTATATCTTCAAAAAGGTCATTAGTTGACAAGATAGCGAGGTAAGTTCTTAGTTACTGACCTTTTTAAAGATATAAACTCATCCCGATGTTACACTCATCAAGAGCTTTCATTTGAGTACCCACATGCATTTTGATATATTTTTCATATATACATATATATAATATATATATAAATATATGAAAAATTGATGTGGGTTCTCAAATGAAAGGTCTTAATGAGTCTAACATCAGGATGAGTTTATATCTTTAAAAATGTCAATAGTTAACAAGATAAAAGGTCATTCCTTAATAATTAATAATATAGATTACTTTTTAATTCAAATTTAAATCACTAACTATTGAAGCTATGAAAAAAATGACTATTTTTTCATAAAAAATGTAACTTCCTACAAAGAAAGTCCCTATCAATTTCAGTTTACCTCGCATCCTAGACCCTATATTAATCTTTTCCCATTAATATACATGGCTCAATTATAAATTTCTAGACTTCGCCCAATCATTATATTATCATTTACATAATTACCATAATATTTTATACAAGTGCTGTATAAATTAATCCTAATTACAAGTATTGACATAATTAAAACAACATTATCTTTGCAGAACAAGCTGACACATGTGAACTGTGAAGATAAATGGAATAATGTAAATAATAATAACAATAACAATCCTTGTAATATAATATGAGTAGAATATAAACATATATATAAATCGATACTTCAGAAGTACTTCAAAGTACGCACGCGTTTCTCACTATCTTAAAAATAATTGCAATTATTTTTTTTTTAAATCCTACCTTGTCCTTCAAGAAGAAATATCAAATTTATATCAAGTGTTTACAAAATAGCTAAGAAGAAATAGATGAATTTTCTTTGAAGCCAGCCACCAACATTGCACTTTAACTTGAGCGACTTTCACCCAAGTTCAGAGTCCCGATTCAGCAAAAACTTCGAGGATTATTAAATTTCTTCAACAATTTGGATTATATAACAAGCTGCAAATATTGAAGCTATTATAATTGTAATGCAAGCAGTACAATTGGTGAAATTTTATTAAAAGCTGGTAATTGGATGTTACTTGCTCCCTCAATTATCCTTCTTAACATTTAATTTATTCGTAAGCTATAAAATTATTGACTCTAATTATTTTCTCACAAAGAAGAAATATAATAAAGGAGAAATAAAAAATATAAACAAGTTTAATAATTAGGATTTAAATATGGTAATTACAATTTTTATTAAAAGAATTTAATTTTTATACCTTCAATAATCCTCACTTGTAACAAGCACTTAATTAAATCGCACATTATACAGTGATGTACTTTTTATTATTATTATTATTTTATTCATTATTAATATATATGGAGTTATCGAGAATATAATATTTATATATATATATATATTAAATGCTACTACGCACTTAAAGTTTTAAAATTTAGTCCGAATACTTACAAGTCGCAATACAATGGTCTACCTCTCGGCGGGATTTAAATTCCTATTGTTCTTACTAGAGCACTTTACAATGCATCCATGCAATTTTTTTTTAACAAGTTATATTGTACAGATTAGTTTAGATTACGTAAAAAAAAAATTCTATTTCGTATCGTAAAATTTATTGTTATAGAGATGTGGATCAACGATTTTGTTTTTTTTTTTATTTTGTTTCCACTTGAACTGTTATTTTTTTTATCATTATTATAATTGTATAACACAAGGTTTAAAGATTTGAATTGTTTGATACAATTACAAATTATCTTCACTTAAGCAATTTATGTTTGTTAACTCAGCCATTTATTTTACCGGTGAGTATCTGCAGATAAATAAATAATTATTAATTATTTTTATTTTTATTTTTATTTTTATTGACAATTGATGATGAGTAAGTAATTAATTTATTATTACCATTTTAAGCATCAGATTTAACTATTGCTTCTTTTTTCTCTTCTACTGGTGTAATGATTTCTTTTTTGTCAGCTGCATTTTTATCAGTTTCTTCAACTTCTTTCTTTGTAACAACCTTTTTTAAATAAATAAATTATTTTTATTAGTTATTTTATTATGATTAATTAATAAAATATATAATTTTTTTTTAATTAAAATTAACAAAATAAAAAAATCAATAAAAATTAATTAAAAAATAACAAAATAAAAATCAACAAAATTAATAAATAATTGTTAAAAAATAAATAATTAAAATAACGTAAGATTAAAACGACCCGAAGTTTATCATACGTCTTTGCGCATCTTAAATCATAATAATTTATTTATTTATATTTGTAAAGAAACGCCCTTGGCAATTAAAATATGTTATATTTTTATGTGTAGAATGTTTAGAAATGATTTTATACAATAAATAGTTTCTGTAAAGAGAAGATAGATTTAACAAATTAAAAAAAATTATTTTCTAATATTTGAATAAAGAGAAAAATAAAATGTTAGTAATTGATAATTGATAGAATATAACTGATCACTATTTGTACACCTGGATTGTTATTATTGTAATGAAAAATATTTTTTTAGAAATTAAAATTAGTTATTATTAGTAATAGTAAAAATTAGTTTTTTAAGAAATTAAATAGTAAACATAAAAGTGAATTAAGTTTTAGGAGTAATTACTAATTACTTTAATTAAATTTTTTATTTAATTAAAAATAGTAAAATTTAACCAGTACTAATTAAAAAAAAATTTTTTTTTTTAAGGTTTAAAAAATTATTTAGTGACAAAAAATTTTCTTTGAAAATTTTCTAATTTATTAAATAGCAGATGTTTGACTTCTAAAAATAAACATATATATAAATAGATATTTTTATTTTTAGAAAGTAAAATTTTTCCAAAATAGCAAAAATTTGATCCTTAATTTAAATATATAAATTATTTAATTATTTTTTTTTAATATATAAATTAATTAAAAAAATATTTTTATAAATTAAACAAATGTCAAAAAATAAAATATTAAAAAAAGTCTGTTAATAAACTTCAAAAATAAAAATAACTAATTAAAATAAAATTACCTCTTCCTTGCTTGCTTCATCAAAGTTTTCAACCAAGTCCGGCACTTCATCATCCTCCTCCATGGTGGCTTTGCCAACAGCACTGCCAGCCACCGTGCTTGCCAATCTTTTGAGCTGGGTCAAGCCCTCTGGGCCCAACTGGCTCAGTATGCCCGGAAGCATTTCTGTGATTTGTTTGTTCTCGCCGTGCCCGGTGATAGCGAAGGTGTTTGCGTTGAGGCTCGCCTGAGCTTTTGGGTTGTTAAAATGAATTACCGTACCGTCATCCTTGATCATGTTGACCTCCTCGATCCCAGGGATCGTGTTCACCGAGAGCTTCTTCAGACAGCTCTGCAGTTTCTTGTCATCTGTCGCTGCGGTCGCGTGGACAACCTGACACAATTATTAATTAATTACATTACATTACCCCAATAATTATTTTAAAACAAGTAATAAAAATCAATGTATAAAAAAAAAAATCAAATATAACAACAATAATAATAATAATAACACTTGATATATGAATCATCATTAAAATACAATTATTATCATGATAACAATTATAATTTAATTTTTGTCTAATCATTGAGACAAAATTTAAAATCTAACCACTAATTTTTTTATTAATTAATATAATAATTAAATTATTACATTTTTTAATTTTTTTATCAAAAAAAAAAAAAATAAATTTATAAAAAATTTTCTAATTATTAAAAAAATAATAATAAAATTATCCGACATTTTTAATTTTTTATTTTGCTTAATTTATTAAATTGTAACTAAGAAATATTTTTAAAAAATTGCACTTATATTTTAAAATTTTTTTTGAATAAAAAAAAATTATAAAAATTTTTTAACATCAGATAATTTTAGTTAATTAATTTAAATATAAGTAATTACCTTCTTTTTACGACGAGGTGTACCTTTACCTCCAATCCTAACTTGTGCTTGTAACTTTTTAAGCTTTTCAGGATTCATTATTTATTAGAACTTAATTAGTTACAACAAATAAATATTCGGAGTAATTACGGAGCTCGAGGACGTCAACAAGGTTAGTTAATTGTTAACAAAAGTATATTGAAGGTTTAATTAAATGCGATGAGAATAAAGAACGACCGGCAACAAACACGTGCTCTGTGTTGGTCGAAAGCCTCGAGAAAATGGAAGACCGCTACCCGCTTCTAAGCACATATTGTACACTACATAGAAGAGTTGTACGTCATCAGTGACTTCCGCTCTCTTCTATATGCCGTACGCGCCCTTCTTATAACTACTCTCACGCTGGTTGGTAAACCGTTCTCGCGCATTACGCGCTCACCATTATGTTCACAAACCAACTTTATCCAATTACTTGTTTTTTATCCTGGATTTATTTATTATTTATTTTTTAAAAGGTAATTATTTTTTTATAAATTCACTTTTTAGTTTTTTTATCACACGGTTTTATTAGTAGTCTCCGGCTTGACTCTAGTAGCTTGGAAAGATCAGAAAGTATATATACTATTATGGATATATAAATATACCGAGTTATAGCGCTCCGAAAATATAAGTAGGATAATACGGAATAGGAATATCTGAAAAAGAAATAAAAATATGTTAAATAAATTAATAAAAATAGAAGAGCTAGAATACTTTGCTGAGTTTATAATTATTTATCATAATTTAATCAGCTGATATTGAAAAAAAATTTAAAGTTAAAATTTGACATGCAAAAAATTTTTTTAATTTTAAGTGCAATTTTTTATTGATTAAAAAAACCCGACAATTATTATTTTATAATGACATTAAAGTTAGCAGTCACTTGACAATTTTTTAATTTTTTCTAACAAAAAAATTTGTCCCAAAAAATTATTTTTAAAAAAATTGCATTTTTTACTTTGTAAAATTTCTGCGTGTCAATTTTTTTTTTAATAATTTTTTTTGCCATACTTTTTCTGTTATAAAATTTTTTAAATTATTAAATATATGCTAAATTAATTTTCATTTTTTTATAGCGTTAAAATTAGCACAATTTTTTAATTTTTTTTAATAAATAATTTTTAAAAAATTGCATCTAATTAAAAAAAAAATTTTTTTTCCATAATTCAATTAAAAAATTATCAAATATCTTCTAAATTAATTATTTTAATTCAATTACATTTAAATCAGTAGTAATTTTATCATTTTTTAATTTTTTTTTAACAAAAAAATTTGTTTCAAAAAATTATTTTTAAAAAATTGAATTTTTTAATTTTTTTCAAATTTCTACATCAATTTTTTTTTTACCATAATTTACTGGTTAAAAAATTCTTAAAATGATCAATTATATTCTAATTTAATTTTTATAAATTAATTACATTAAAATTAGTAATAATTTTATCAATTTTTAATTTTTTTTCCCATAATTTACTTGTTAAAAAAATTCTTATAATTATTAAATATCTGTTAAATTAATTTTCATTAGAATGTCGGCTAATTTTAGTATAAATAATATTATAAATTATTTTTTGAACTTTGTACCATGTACAAATGTATTTATTTTATATAATAATAATAATAATAACAACAACAACAACAATCATAATAATAATAATAGTTATAGATATATACATAATTCATTGAATTATTTCCAAATACATTTAATGTCATGGAAATAAAATAGATTTTATATAAATAAATGACTAAATTCAAAGTACTGCAAGGTTGACTGGTAGTAAATATAATTAAATATATATTATATTAAATCGTTGGTTTTAAATAAGATAATTGTACTTGGTTCATGAGATTATTTTTGATAATAAAAATAAATAATTGTATATATATCTAGCGGGATTTTATCAACTCGCGATCAGTCGGATCATTTTTTTTTATGATCAAATTCAAATTTTATCCTCAGTTCTCCTATTTTGGATACAGGTAATAGGTCTGGTATCCACTCGATTACAAACGGCGTCGGTTCTCGTTGATTCGGTGACGTATATCCTAAAAAAAAAAAAGAAAAAAATTAATTTTCAATAAAAATTTAAATTTATTTATTTATGCATTGAAAAATTATCAAAGCTCTTAAGTGGCATTAATTATTTATAAGATCAAAAATTAACAAAATCATTTGAATATTTAATTGCATAATCCATATAATTGAGAAATAAGCATGTATCTCGTGAACTATTGACATTTTTAAAGATATAAACTCATCCCGGCATTACACTCATCGAGACCTTTCGTTTGAGTACCCACATCAATTTTTCATATATTT